CATTTCTTCCTTAACGGATTCCTGGCCCAATTTCATTTCTTCCTAACGGATTGGCCCAATTTCATTTCCTCTTTAATTTCTTCTTTAAAGATGTTGGCCAGCTTCCATCTTTTCTTGGCTTTAATTCAACGGATTGCTTTCCACTTTTCTTGGAAGAGCAAATGCAGTCATCATTTGCCTGAATTGTTCTTCCATCGCTCTTGTTATTGGCATTCAAACCCCACTTCCTGACACCAAAAATTGTTGCGTGCGTACGGGTTCGTTATGAAATGAATGCACAAGTCCGATGAAAAATGAACAAAAATTTATTATTATCACAACAAAAATGCTTAAATTTTCTCAAATTATCATGCAGTATTACAATATCTCACAGTAGTTATCTTTTAACTACTCAAATGTCCAATAGAACGTAATTCAAAACAGCTAAAGAACGCTAATCCGCGAATTCGCTACAATCAACAAGAGCAGTTTTCTAAACAACAACAAACTAAGCAACTACTACAAACTGAGATGTTTTCCTCCTTTTATAAGATTTTAAAATCACGCGCTAGAATTTTCCAGTACTTTCTCGAAATCAAAAAGAGATATTTATTTATTTAATGCACGCGCTCTTGTATTTTCAATTTTCCGGCTTAGCTTTCTTTTAATATTCGTCACGCGCTGCACTGCGCGAGAAATAAAACCATTTAATTTATAATTGAACTAACATTAGCTTTTTAAATACCAAATTCGTAACACATCTTTCAATTTATTCACATTTAATATTCTTTTTTTGCTTAATTCTCACCTTCCATTTTCTCAGTTTCTTTACCCAACTTCTTTCTCCTTGGAGGGAATCAAGTATTAATTCTCAATATGTCGAACGTACTCAGTTTCATCAAAGATAAACCATCTGGAAAATTCTCGGCTTCCATTAATTACATTCTCACAAAAAAAATGACGGAGTTCTATATCTCTCGTTCTACTGGGCCGATTGACGAAATTTAACTTGCGTTTTTCATGTCTTGAAAGCGCGACTTAGAATATATGTGAGATTTATGTACATCATTGCTCTAACACGGGTATTTTGATACAAAATCGGACTTTTTCTGAAATTGACATACTAGATGTTTTCCATATTTAGATTCTAAGACTCAAATTATGCCCAAATACTGTTACGGATTTGGTATTTAAATAGCTTATGTTAGTTGAATTGTAAATTAAATGGTTTTATTTCCCCCACAGTGCAGCGCGTGACGAATATTAGAAAGAAAGCTAAGCCGGAAATTGAAAATACAAGAGCGCGTGCATGTTAACATTTAATAAATAATTTATCTCTATATAATCTTATTAATAATAATTTATCTCTTTTTGATTTCGAGAAAGTACTAGAAAATTCTCGCGCGCGATTTTAAAATCTTATAAAAGGAGGTAAACCTCTCAGTTCGTTGTAGGGGTCAGTTTGTTGTTGTTTAGAAAACTGCTCTTGTTGACTGTAGCGAATTCGCGGATTAGCTTTCTTTAGCTGTTTTGAATTAAGTTCTTTTGAACGTTTGAGTAGTTAAAAGATAACTACTGTGAGATTTTGTAATGCTGCATGAATATTTTAGGAAATTTAAGCATATTTGTTGTGATAATAATAAATTTTTGTTCATTTTTCATCGGACTTGTGCATTCATTTCGTAACGAACCCGTACGCACGCAACAATACTGAACTTTCTAAAATTTGGTGAAAACGTTGCGGAGGAGTTTAAAAATTTATATTCGTTAATTCTTTTGAATTTGCGCTAAGAAAAATTCACTTGGCCGTATTCTTAATTTATAGCAAGCAATTTCCCGTTCCCTTTTTTCATTGTGCACGAGCGTAAAAAACAGTTGTATCATTCATATTTTCAAATAATTTTAACAAAGTGCGTAAAGCACATTTTGGCGTTATTATTGCTTATAACAAATATGTCAAATTTCAAAATGTGCCAGTATATAAATTCACGCATATCTTGTGAAATTAGGAACAAAAACCTATATGTATATCTAGAAAGGCAACTACTTTAAGATGATGGTAAAAATGTGATTGGATATAATTAAAAAAAGGTTTTCGAAAAATTTATAAGATATTACAAAAAAATACAAATTTTAAATCAAATCAGAAAATAACTGCGCATTTTATTTAGATTGAAACTAAAGTTCGAACTGTGGAAAAGAAAATAAGTAAGTTTAATAAAAAAAAGCGATATTAATAAGTATATACCACATTTGATTAACAGTGAGGAGCTATTCTTTTGAAAGCTAAATTTTTTAAATCTACCAATTTACTGAACGTAACGCAAGTTTTTTTGTTACAGAAAAAAATATCATTTCATAATAAATTATTCTTTTGAACTTGAATGTAAATTTATAAAATTATTCTGAAAGACTTGTAGAGATATTAGGTATTTTTTTTTGGAAGAATGCAAGATGAAAAATGAGCAACGGCTTCACCGGGAATCGAATCACGGACCTCTGGATACGCGCCCAGTGTGCAGACCACAACACCACAAAGGCACGCTAAGAAGGCGGAAGAAATGCCTCATAGACTAAGTAAAATAGTATTTCGTTTGCAGATGGCCCTAATTCCTGAACAAAAGATCCTTTTTCGACTGGAGTTTGGTGAATGGAGTTCATCATCCTTCGAACAGCAGCTTTTGCATTCGCAATGTCTATGATGTAGTCTCGACGATGATTTCCAGGCAAGAAAATATCCTTTGAAAGAAACTATCTAGTTCTTAAAATTCTGTCATCGAACTGTTCTTTGTTACCTTATCAAGGACTGCGCAACAGAATGTTTTAACAATTTAGTTACTGCTTTTATAAGGATATATTTGATATACTGAGGCCGTTCGCACATTTTTTAGAGAACTTTGATTTGCTATAAAAATTTCCTGCTTGAAAATTTGTTTTAACAGCAACTATATTTATTGAAAGTGTAAATTTTGTTCTGCTATTGGACAATTTTGTTTTCATACAAAATGGCGCTTTTAAAGAAGCAATGGACGGAAGGCTATGCCTGTGCTCTTTCCGAAGAAAATTATTCATGTTTAGTTCTTAAAAAGTGCTGTGAAAGCCATGATTTTTCGGTATCTAAATCAGTGATAGATAATATTGTCAATAAAAAAGGCGTCACAATTTGGCTTCAAGTTAAAACATTGCTTAAAATACATATTCAAGCAAAAAAACGGAATGTTTCGAATGTTGCCAAGTTAAAAACTTTAATGTTAAAAGAAAATCTTCAGAGTTAAAGGACAGTCTCATAAACATTAAAATGCTCAGTTTCACCTGTAAACAAATAGATTAATGCTCATTTGAATCTTAAAAACGCGAAAAAATGTAATGCCATCGTCTTTCTTCACTACATATCGCCGAAAGTATATAGGGTCCACTAATGGTCGAGTGGTAAAGTCGCTGAAGAGTTGTAATTCGGTTCGAGATTCTAATCTCGCGAGCGAGCTGGCTGCATAGGCGTTCTCGTGGTTTACTCCATGTGTAACGTGTATACGACCAGTTCCCCTTAGAAAGTCCTCTACGAAGGCATCCCTCTCCCTACGCAGCTAGTCCTCGCGTGTTTCGCAGTAACCAAATAAACCAAACCGAAAGCAGAACACGCTTCAGTATTCTCTCTGAGAAAAAAAAAATATTCGGACAAAAATGGAAAACTGTTGTCGCAACGGATAAATCTTGGGTGCATTTAAATGACTCAATAAAAAGAGATCCATTTTTTTACCCTCAAAGAGAAGGAAAATATCTTAGAATATGGGTCAAAGAATCTAAGGAAAGTTTTTCAAAGGTATTTATGATTGTTGTTGGTTCTTGATATCATGATAAGTAAAAATTAAAGATAGGGCATAAAACTGTTAAAGTTAACTCCACATATTATCAGGGACATATCTTATACCCAATTTTGAAATATAAACTATCTTCTCTATACCCACAGTGCCATCAATTAGTAAAACCACATTAAGACAAAGAAAGCAGCCAACATGTCAAAATCCACTGTTAATTCCCTGAAAAAAAAATGGAACTGGAAACGGATATCAAGACCATACCCTACTAAATATTCAGTTGATAGTAGGGATATCAGTAGTAGGATAGTATCTCGCGATATATTATCCAGGGATTTTTGCACTTTTGAACTTTTAAAAAGCGGATTGCCCAGCGTTAGACCTACAACCCTCTTTCGACCTTGATAAACTGTTCAAGAGGAATGGGATAAAATACCTCTTCGCCACTTAGAAAGGCTTTACTGGGAAATTACGGTAGAGGAAGATAGTGAAGAATCGTGTTTATTAAATGGAATATTCATTAAAAAAAATTAGATAAACTATTTCTGTAAATGCAATGAAAATGGTCTAAAAATATGCGATGAATTTAGATGTTTTAATGCATTATTGGTGCCTTTAATATGTAAATCCAAAGTCCTGTCGTATAAATGTTTTTAGAAAAGGAATAAGAAATTTTGGTGTAAGCTTCTACCGAATTATTCTCGACCGAATGTTGATGATTTTTTTTTCAATGGCAGATTGTGAACAATTGCAAATGTAACCCTAATTAATCTATACAAGGCCGGATGTGGTGGTCTCTTTATTATGGAGGCACCTAATAGGTGGGCCACCATCGCCTTTCCTATGAAGGGACGGATTCCGAAGAATATAATGGAAAGAAAATTGGGCGAAGTTTATAATTTTAATTTCCCTTTCAGCTATTCTCATAAAAGAATAAATTGTTCTTCTTTGTTAGATGGAAACAACTTCGAAATTCACTGCAAGAAAACAAAAAGGGTGGCATTGGAGTCACCCACTGGCGAATTCAAAAGTAGTCATAAATGACTTACATTTCCCGTCTTCTTTCGTTTGATTAGGATGTCGCGAATTTTAACAATTGAAAGAGAAAACTCCAGCAATTGAGAAGAAAGTTCTATCACGTGACATTTACGAGCTCATTTAAATACAGTTAGTCAGTCATTGTCACTGCATATCTCGAACTATCAAGCCATCAAATTTTATGTGAGTGAAGTTTCTTCAGCAGATACTCCAGAGAGGGAAAATATTTATGTTCCCATCATGCAATTCAGTTGTGCAATGTTGACAGCTTTGTTCTCATTAAACTAGAATGAAACATCGAGCAATTTTATGTCAGCAAACGAACTCGGTGCAGGTAAATAGTGTTCAAACAGCTGACGAAGTTGCACTTTAAATGAAATAATTTTCCGTTTTTAAACAGCTTGCTAAATAATTCGAATAAAACGTTATCAGTATTATTTGCAAAGCATCGGACAAAATCATGCGTAAAATTTTGTCAAACTTCAAACAGTGATATTTCTGTGATTTTTTACAGATGAAAAATGCAAACGATCTTTATGCTGCGTAGTGACTGAAGAATATTCTGTCCAAGCTCTGTGCATTCGCTTTAAGATGCCAACTAAAGTAGCAAATCCAAGACATAACTCGTTAAAAACAGACTTCCAGTCTATGGAACCCGAGCAGTCTGAAAATCTGCCTGATGATGAAGAAATTATGTGTGGAGTTGGATCCTTTTATCCCGCGTGGCTACAGAAATTTAGCAAGCCCAAAGTCTTTTTTGTAAATCACACCCTTTTAGGTCTTCTACAAGGAGCCTTCTTCACATATTTGGTTGGATGTTTATCAACGCTTGAGAAAAGATATGGGTATGAAACTAAAATAACAGGTATAATTATGATATCCGAAGAAATAAGCCCGATTCTTTTTGGGCTATTACTGGGATATTTTGGTGGCAAAGCTCACAGGCCTCGTATTGTTGCAATAGGAATGGTGGTAGCTGTTGTCAGCTGCTTTATTATGGCGGCACCCTATTTCATATATGGGTCTATTCTCTACCATAATTCAGAAGGTTTGCGGTATTTAACAAACAAAACTAAGCATGAAATTTGTGATCATAAAGAGAAGGATTATTTCTGTGAAAAATCACCAACATTAACTGCAGTATCTCTGCTGTTCTTTGGGAATTTTTTAAAAGGAATCGGAACCTTAGCTTTCTATATCATTGGAACATCATATTTAGATGACAGTATAAAAAAGAAAAACTCTCCTGTTTATTTTGGTAAGCTGTATTTTCAAAATGCTATATTAACGTATTCCATTATTATCGTTTGTTATTATATTGTGTAACTTTCTCTGTTAATATGGGTTATTATGCCTAAATGATACTTGTTTCAAAGGTAAGATTTAGAGTGGAAAAATTTTTAAGCATCAATTAACGATATTTTCCGTTTAAAAGTTCTGGAATTCTTGCATAATTCGATTTCTTTTCTACAATAAATACCACTGTCTTAAACTAGTTATTCTTAATACGCTCACTAGTCATAAAGTATTTTCCCGCCTTCTTAGCATGCCTTCGTGGTGTAGTGGTCAGCACACTCGATGCGTATTCGAGAGGTCGTGGTTCGAGTCCCGGCGAGGGCATTGCACATTTTTCATGTCTCTTGCTTCAAAACAACTCAACATAGTGATAAGTACAACTACTGTCTCAACATAGTGATTAAGGAAAGCGAAGTAAATCTTAAAATGTGTCTAATTAAATGCTAAAAAATATGTAATTGATTATCTCCAAGCTAAGAAATATAAAAAAATTATGTAACAATTTATATGACACCCCATTTTGTCCGTTTTAGTTTTATTATGGATAATTATGACAAATTTGGTAATGCAAACTTAAGATTTACACAGGGCTTCGATATTAATTAAGAAAAATTTCTGTTTTTAAGAGTGATTAAATTAAACCTTTTTGATTTTACAGATTTCAAAATGTACACAAGATAAAAAAAAAGGCTGTTAATGGATTCCTATTCTTAATATTGATAATGCATTTAATTTTTTCTCTAACAGCTAGAAGTCCTACTTTAGTGCAGCCAAATGCATAGATGCATATTGAAGTTTGAAGAATCTGCAGAATAACGATTATTGTAAATAAACTTCCTAAATGGACTTTTATTTTAAAGAAAAACTTACAAAATCAGCACCATTAAATAAATTAAATAAAGATGTGCATTTTATTTTCTCCTGAATGAAGTCAAAGCAAATTTTATTAATTTAATGCCTGTAAGTTTTAAAATCTGCATAGTACATGACTTTTATTTCTTTTCTAGTTTAATTTAATTTTTTTTTAAATTTATTTATTTATTTATTTATTTATTTATTTTTAGCCCAAAAGAGCGTTAGCCCAAATGAGCTATTAGTCTCAATACGGGATATGGTTGCGTATCACTTTAAATGTCTTAATCACTTTTCAGATTGTACCACTGAATATTACCGCCTTGTATTGCTTTCAAAGAACTTAAATAATGATGAATCTGCATAGATGTATACAAGTTTCTCGCACTGTGAAAAAACGATGGTACCTAGAGGTTATCAGATTTTGTATAACTAAACCGGATTACGTGCACCTGGAAGACCGAAATTTGAATTTCGAATTTTATATTTCATACTTTGTAATTCCAGGGTGCTAGAATGTCTATCCGAAATTCTAAAGATGTGCTGTTTTTAAATATTATGTGCCATAAGTGCGAGAACATAATATTTAATTAGTAAATTTAACAAACAGGACTTCAGTAATAAAAAGACAACATTTTGCAAGCCATCTAACTAAGAAAACTGTAGTTTGAAATGATAATCTAAGAAAAAAACTGAAAAAAAAATTAAAAAACATATGCTGACATGCTAACACTAACACTTCATAGGAAATTCTAAACACATGTTGCTTTTAAAATTTTTGTAATTTTGCTGTTGATTTGAATTGTATCTGATGTAAGTGGCAAGCAAATTATCCGTAATAATAAAACTAAAAAGACAAAAAGAAGTGGGTTAGTAGGAGTGAATGTAACAGCAGGATTGCTAAACTGCGAGCTCAGCATAGACAAAGCTTAATGAACCCTTTTGTGAGACCGTTAAAATACGAGTCCTTTCAGATTATTCTTTTTTATTTTTTTAAATTTTTTTTTCCAATTTTATTTTATTATTACTCCAAATGGGCTTGTACCTGAAGGATTATTGTTTTCGTTTTGCGATTTTGCGTCGAATCACTATAAATGTCCGTTTCACTTTTCATACTATTGCCACCAAATGTTAGAGTCCTCCATTATCTTTGAAGAAATTAAATAATGATAAAATGTGCATAAATGTATGTATATTTCTCACATTGTGATAAAACAGCGGTACACAGAGCCATCGAATTTTGAATGACGTAATCCTCCTACGAATATGGGCATGCGGAAAACCAAATTTGATATTTGGAATTTGTTTTATTATCGATTTCATATTTTGTAAACCTTTAACGAATTTTTGAGTAACAAACTCGACGACTTAAACGCGAGCAATGGCAAGACACTACAGCGGGGAAAAAAACTTTTTATCTCCAGAGGGCGCGGAACTGTGTATTGGAAATTCTAAAAATATGCTCCTTTTAAAATGATTTTGCGACATTGCTACTGAACTGAATTTTATTATTTAAATGCAAAGAACATGCTATTTAATAAATAAAGGTAACACACAAAAAGTTAAAAAAACGCCCTTTTGGACGCAATTTAAAATCTGAAACCTTTCAATTTTTTTATTTATTTATTTATTTATTTTTAATGATATTCTCATTGTAACTTTATAGGAATCTTTTTGTTATTTGCATTCGTTTGCAAGTTCCTTTTCAGATATTGAACCTTGGAAAACATCATGTTACAATTTCTTACTCTTGAAAAGTTAGAATTCTGCGTTTTAAGTTTCTTTGAGAATTTCATATTTAGGTATTATTATACGTCTGGGTCAATGCAATTAAATATGCAGCTAGTTACGTGCGATTTTATTTGATTGTGTAGAAGATTGATCAGTTTCAAATTTTAAAATTCATGCATGTTTTAAAATTGTTTCAAACAGTAAATGCATTCGTAAATCATTTAGCCCACCAGCTGCCGAGCGGTTAATTCGCTGAACACGTAGTTCCGTACGGATTTCGAATCCCTGCGAACGGGCTGGCTGCATGGGAGTTTTCGTGGTTTTCCCCATCTGCAACGTATATACAACATAGTTTCTCTTACAAATTCCTCCACGAAGGCATCCCTCATCTTATTCAGATAGCCTTCGAGAGGTTTGCCATAATTAAACAAAACAAACTACATCCCTTAATCACATTAAAATTATGTCGTCGGACATTTAGAAAAATTCTATGAAATTCTCAGCAACTTCATTTGTATCTAAATAAGCAAAGTAATTTATTTTTCTATGAGAATAGCTGAAAAAAAAATAAAAAGTATAAATTTACCAATTTAACTTACCCCTTTCATGGGAGTTAAGTTATTTATGCCTATGGAATAGGCGCATGAAGGTCTTGACCATGATTTAAAAAGTTTAATAAAGGACCTTTGGAAAATGCCAAGAGCTTCTCATTTTAATGAAGGTTATTATTCAATACTTATTTTCAAATGTATGTAAATAAACTTCCTGAACCATACATTCAAACTGCTAGAGAGAAAATATGTGAATAAGTAAAGTATGTGCTTAGGAAATTGTTAACTTTAATTCATTAAATTTACAGTACGTGGGTGTGTGAGTAGGCATAACTGAATAATTACGTACTATGTACGAAAGCCAATTTAAAAACTGCATACCGAAAATGAAATCCTAAATTTAATATTAAAAAAAGCCGTTTTACAAATGTAATTTGTTTCAGGACTAATTATTGAAAATGCAACATTCTCATTATGGTTTATTATATTTTCATCAGTAATCCTTAAAATGCTTTAACAGAGTATTTTTCTTTTGTAAAAATTTAAATTCGCTCCCCCACCCAGCTTCCCTAATTATTTTTACGTGTTTCTTATAAAAATTTTTAAAAGTGTATCTCTTTTATTTAGAGAAATAATTTTACTTTTACACATATGCGGTTGCTTCACCAAATGTATTATTTTACTTTAAAAAGGTAAGATCCCTTAGTTTTGGAAAAGAGATCAGACTTAAGTATTTAGTTTCAATTTATGAACGAATAAGTTGTACTTCATTATGGAATTCAGTTCATGAACAAAAAATCTACTTTCATTCAAGTTTTAGTATTTTTAAACATCTTTTATACTTTTTATTGTTAAATTTTTGAAATTTGTTAAAAATATTATAAATTAAGTAAATATACCTGCATTTTTCAAGTTTAGGAAGGAGAAGGGGGAGCATGATTACCTAGCAATGGTTAAAAAGGATACATGGAGCAAAACCGATTCAGAAATACTGCTCTAAGAATACTGTTACAGTTGTCTATTAATTAAGTACACGAGAGTAATGATTTTCTATAAATTAATTCATTTCTATAACAGCCTTGTCTAATATATGAACTAGAAGCTACGAAACACACTATTGTAACAATGTGAGCAAATCTTCGTCTGATTAAATCCAGAGCTATAACGTGCACGGTTAAAGAGTTACTTAAGTCAGATAGATTGAGCAGTTATAGAAATTCTGATGGTTTCTTTATAGCTTACTAGCAGCTTCGCTGCCAGCCTTCGTCTGGCTTTTAAATGCACCGGAAAAACGGCTGAAGGGAACACCAAAAGTTAAATTTAAAAACTGCGTAGAATTTTACTCTGCAGAACAACTTTATCAAAAAAAATCAATAAAAATGTATTATATATACATATAAATGACAATTAAATATGCCAATCTCTTAAAAACAGTGACATAAGAAATACGATGAAACATTGTTGCCGAACCCATATTCTAAAAGAATGAAACTATTCAAAATAATGCGATTCATCAAAAATCTATCAACAACAATAAGACAGGAAAATTGTTTCCAAAATCACATTTTTAAAGATGTGAGATGTGCGAAGTGTACTCGGAAGCTTCATTTAAAAATTTTTTTAAAAGTACAAAATATTATCAGTTTTCCAAAATTACTTTTTGTAAAAGCAGTCGCAAGGATGAAAGTTTAACGTGTCCAAAAATCAAAGAAAAATAAACTGTACATTTTTAAAAATAAACTTTTTTAGAAAAAATCCCGTTGAAAAGGTGTTAAGCTCCCTTTGTTAAATAAATTCGTATTTAATCGATTTATTGAAACACGACATTTATTTTAAGTTCGTAAATTATCTAAGTGCCTACGTTTCATGACGATGTGAAAATGGAGTGTGTAGAGTAAAATCTCGCTTTCCTATAGTCCCATTAAATGTCTCAAAATGACGCGATTTCGTCACAAAGCATAAAATAAAAAAAATTCGAATTCGAATTTCGAAAACATCGCTTCGAGGTGTGCTGGCTCTTGTCTAGGTGCACTTATGTACCAAATTTCGTAGCCGTGGGTCTATTAGCTTACGCGCAGCGCGAACCAAAGTCACACACACAGACAGAATCTTTCTTGAGATTAAGCTTGGAATCATACAATAAATTTCAACATAACATGTAAGCATGATAAAATTTTTAACTCTCATGTGGTATTTCACAAACTGTATAGTTATTACTTAAGAGCAATGACAACGTATACCCAGCTACATTTTTCTTTGTTGTACGAAGTAAAAGAAAGAATATAATCGCAAAGAATTTCGGGTATGATATTACAACAAAAATAATCCGTTCTGAACACTGTCGAATCCATTTGAACAATGTGCTTCCTTGGCATGTAAGTAAGTAAGGATAGAATAAAGGACTCTTTTTCACAAAGCGGATTCAGAAGAGATTTTTTTTCGTCGCGTCTGTACATACGTATGTATATATCTCGCATAACTAAAAAACGAGTATCCTCAGAACATCGAAAATTTTTTATATGCGACTAATATAACATGTAGTTGAGCACACCCCTTTTTGGTTCCAATCGGCTACACAAAACCTATATAAATCTATGTATGTATGTACCCACTCTGTGACCCGGCTCGATGAGCTCAGTTTTTTATTCTTACATATTAGTAAATTGTGCATTTTTTTCCTTTCAAATTGATTGAATTATACTGTTCTTATGTTTCGGTTAACGTTTTTATGCCTTTACTTCGTCTGCATGCAATAGTACTAGAATTACCAACAATTTTAATGTTGTTTAAGTGATATTAATCCTAACGAAGCAGCGATTTGTTTACATTTGAAACTTTTAGTAGAAGAGTGAATTAAGTCAGTTTGTGCACCAGCTTCTATGGCTTTTCGCCAAAATGTAAACTTTCAGTTTTGTCCACTGAAAAATCTGTCTTCCTGTCCGTTGGCTGAATTACTTGGTTTTGGATAGAAACGCTATTTGTAACTGTAAGAATTATCTTTAACTATTTTTAAATGTATTTGGTGTTTTATGTTTTTCAGTATTATGCCGTTTTTAATGAACATATTTTCAGTTTTCATGCACCCTTGCCGCAAAGATATCTCTAATGAAATTCGAGCAAATAAGTTTAAATGAAATGCAGCAAAAAATGTGTATAATTTAGTAGTTCGTAATAGGAAGTCATATGATGTCCACAACAGACCTTTTTTTTTTAATCATTTTAGGTACTCTGTTTTCTCTTCGCCTTCTAGGACCAACATGTGGTTTCTTGCTGTGTTCCTTATGTTTGAATTTCTACGAAGACCCATTTTGTAAGTATATAATATATTCCTAGTTTAATGAACTTCATATTAAATTGGTTAATTGAAACAAACTGCAAAAACTGATTAAACTGCAAAGACCGATTTTAAAAATGTAAATCTGAAACGCCATGGGGAGTTTCTTTCTATAATTCAGATACTTTTCTGAAGAATTTCCTAAGAAAAATTTATTTCCTGTTTATGCCACTCAAAAGAAAATGCATGAACGAATTACTTAATCGACCACGATTCGAAACTTAGGTGAATCAGCTTTACACATATGCCCAGAAGTGTATATATCCAGCAGTTAGCATATCGGCCAGATAGCCCGCTGACGGAAATAACTTAATCAACATAACACACTTTGGTAGAGTTTGGTAGAGGGCAGGGTAAAGAAATGCTGGACGAGGCGATAGTGCAATAATGGAAGAAGAATACATTGCGGGTGAGAAGAACAATTTCAGTTACATATTTACAGAGTTATGGATAGGTGGTTACAAAAAGCATCCACAACGTGAATAATAAATGACTACTGTGCAATATATGAGCAATTAACAGACTCACTGATAAAACAGTAAAACGAATATCTGAAATAGGGCTAAATACTAAATAGCAATACTAAAAATAATAAATAAAATAATAAAAAGCGAAATAATACATAAAATAAAAAAGTCAAAACAGTGAAAACATAAAATAAGCCAAAAAAAATAATAAAGGTTCATAAGTCAGGGTTTACAGTTCAAATAGATAAGTATATACAGGGAATAAAAAAAGCCGAAAAAGCTAACTTAAGATAAAATTAATTCATTACAGATACAGAGCATACGGGTTTTGTGCTGGTGACGAGGATGGCCGCTGAGAATTACTCCAGCCAGTCTGAGATTTTGCGTGCAATGTTTATGCAATCGCATATGCGTTTCAATGCACTGCGATTTTTCGAAGTAGCTTCGGCCCTGGGATGGTTTGCTACTGGTTGCCTAAGATGATGTTTGGCAGTCTCTCTGCAAGCTCTTTTAATTCCATCGACGGGATCCAACATGCTGAAATACACCTAACCCAGTGGGCCAGCCGTTTCGTCGATGGTGAAAAGAAAAAGAAAGTCTCTCTGCAAGCGAACAGATAGTGGCCCGGATCCTCCTGCCATCCCGCATAAGCAATGATCGTTTTCGCGTCGTCTGAAGCGGTGCAGGTACGTCATGAAGGAACCATGCCTTGTTAGAAAGAGTGAAGTGAAACGAGCCACTTTTAGAACCCGGCAGACTTTTGGAAAAAATCTGTGAACTCTTTGCGGTGGGTCTCTGTCTGCCACAATGTTTGCCAACGTTTGAGTATTCTCTCTCGAGCTCAGCTTCTAAGAACGAGCTCGGGAGAGGCACGTCAAGTGTGTCGAACGTGAGGGTCAGTTGGTGCCTTTTGTTTTGCATCTGCATTTTCATTACCAAGTATTCCGGTGTGGGCAGGTATCCATGGAGTTCAGGCCTATAGTATTTTTGGTTCTTGTAAGAGTTTTTGTATGGCCCTGACGAGCGGATTTTTTACTACATATGCCTTGGATTGCCTGAAGGCTAGAGGCTGAGTCTGAATATATACTCGAATAGTTATTTTACAGTGCGTAGACAAGTGCAGCTTTTAATGCAATCAGTTCAGCCTGAAAAACTGAGCTGTGGTGTTTAAGCATTCTTTCCCAGATCTTTAAGTTCTGGTTCCCAGGTAGAGATTTTCTGTCTTATTTATCTTTAATTTTCTGATTTATGTATTTACTGGATATTCACATGTTAGATTAAGCTAAGTCTTTTATTTGTCGAAAATTATCTGTAAAGGGAGTACTGCTTTGAGTCTAAAACACTAGTTGTCTTTTAAAAAGACAAGTTTGCAAACATAACAAAAGAAAACATTATGTGTTTCCATCGATTGATTAAAAAATGTATAATTTCATTTACGGAACATGGACAGTGTTCCCCAAACTAAACAAGCTGATTAGTTAAGAAGTACTAAGATTGATTTTGACTTCTTTTTATGCTCACGGATACCAAACTGATTTTTTACTTCCTTCTAAAATTAAAGATAATATCAGAATCGTGGAAAGTTTCGTTTATCAAATTTCAACAGAAATATTCATTTTGACCCTTCCCGAATCAGTTTTAATGACGTTTTTGTATGACATTTTGTATGTAAAATGGGTTTAAAATGTGTCCAAATGGATTTTTGCGTGACGTCTATACGTAGGTATGTCTGTATATATGCATTTATCAGGCATAGCTCAAAACTAATTAGATGTAGAAATTTGAAATTTTATTAGGTATTGTGAAAAAGTAACGGTACCTAGAGCTATTAAATTTTGAATAATGTAGTCCTCCACCCGAACAAGGGCACCTGGATGCCGGAAATTTGAAAATATGATTTGTTTTCTTACCTATTACATATTTTGTAAAACTTTATCGAATTTTTGTTTTAAAAACTCAACGATTTTAAAGAGAGCTGTGGTAACACTAAGGAACAGATAATTTTCATCTCCAGCGCGGAAGACTGTCTGTCTGAAATTTTAAAGATATGATGTTTTTAAATACTTTGTGATTTTGCTGTTGAATGGGATTCTATGTGATGTAGCGCTAAGAGTGTGATATTCAGTAAATAAAGTAAACACTCAAAACTTCATTAATAAAACGACAAAAGAAAGATATTTTGTGAAGTCATCTTAGTAAGAAAACTGAACACTGATGTGCTGACCTGAGAAATGATTAAAAAAATAGAAAAATGTATGCCAACACTTAACGCTGCATCGGGAATTCTAAACATATACTGCTATGCGGCTCTTTTGTTTAAGTTTTGCAGTTTTCCTGTTGGATTGTATATGTGGCTTAAGTGCGAAGAAAATTACGCTTAATAAATAAGCTAAAAAAAGGGGGAAAATGGATTAGTGGGAATGAGTGTAACAGGAGAATTGTAGACTGCAAGCTCAACGAGAACATAACCTTAACAAATCCTTTTGGGCGATCGTTAAAATCTGAAATTTTTCAGATTTCATTTCTTTTAATAGATTAGTTTATGTTGGATCTTTTAATCAGTTTAGTAGAAGTTAATATAGATATCTTTCAGATTTAACTATTGCATAATTAAACAGGGAATATATATATATATAATATATATACTTTCAGTTAGTTTTATTAATATTGAAGAGTTGAAAGCTGACGCTGCGATGTTAGCTGAAGGTTTCCTCCCTGTTTATATTCTTAATTATGTAAAACACATAAATGTAAAGCAAAAATGTTTTTGACTTTATGAATTCTTAAAACTTGATGTGGAATAAACTTCACACTTTTCTAATATAAATCACTAGACTGGTCACAAGTGTTTTATCTATTTATTGAACATAACGCTTTTTTTTTTTTTTTTTTTTTTTTTTTTTTTTGTACAAAAGTAAACTTCAGATTTATTTATAAATGCTGCTTTAAAATGAAACATTCTTTCGAGCTTGAGTTTGTACTTGTTAAAGTACTGTAAAAGACTAACAAAAGTAGGATTTCATTTTCAGATGATCCTGGTTTTGGAACAAAAGATCCTCGTTGGATTGGAGCCTGGTGGTTGGGATTCATCATCCTTGGAATAGCAATATTGATATTGTCACTGCCTATGACACTGTTTCCGCGACGATTCCCGGGCAAACAAATACCCTCGAACCTGCAAACGAAAAGCGAAGAGGCGCCTATGTCACGAACTGAGCAACTCAAAGGTAATATATGATTTACATTTCCCGTTTACTTTGCTTCGATTAGAATATCACCAAATCCAACAATTGAATGCGGAAGGAAAACACGTTTTAAGGAAATTAAGTTAAAAAAATGTATAATACAGAATTATTTTTAACTGTGAGTAGATGAAGAATTCACATTTTTATTAGAAAGCCGTTCGAGGTTATATGGTGGATAAAAATGACAACCATAACATCTTTTAAAACTACTTTAAAAATGATTCTGCTACTACTAAGGTTATTCGCACACTTTGTAAACGAATTTCTTATATTTACAAAAATATTTTATCTGAGCTTCTTGTGTTTAAAATGTTCCATTTGATAACCCTTATTCTTTACAATCTTTATATACCGTAATTTCCAAGATAATAAAACATTTTTAGTATCTGAAGAGGTATAGTTCGACCATCTCATACGCAACCCTGTTTGGCATTCTGCCAAAACACTGAATTCTGAAGATCACCAAACTGTATTCTTTGCGAAAGAAAGTAGAACTCAAACTACTCTAGAGAAGCCGAAATTTTGCAGTTCTTGGAAAAATTATGCGATAAGGTCCAAAGTGTCCAATAGCAGAACTAAGTATTTTAACATGTGTTCAAAATGCCCTATCATGTTATACCTTGTGTACGAGGGGTGCCAAAAGTTGGAAGCGGTCTGAAAAAATTATTACCGACGAGTAAGGGGGTAATCGTCAACTTAAAATGGCGTCGTAAGGAACTTCTATAAGATGCTGCCCTCGGTAAAATCTTAAAATGGGAAAACAGAACTGGCTCAAAGTTGAGAAAAAGGAAAAAAAAAATTATGTTATAAAAGGTAAAAGTCTTCACGTAATCAGAACATTAACACTTGAATACGTCTTTGAAAGGGTACAATACGTCTTTGAAACTAAAAGCGCCATTTGTTTTGGTAAAAACAAGATTTGCTAGTAGTTAAATTTAGAAAATAGTAGAAAGAAAGTATATAAAGATAGTATAAATAATAATTAAAAGGGAAAAGATAAAGGTTCTTTGTACATATGTACATTAAATTTCTTATCGTAGTCATCCAATTAAGATTAATTACCTCCGATTAAGATTTAAGTAATAATTATCATATCACTTTAGATGAGAAATTAAAAAGAAAAGGTAGTTAATACCAACTTTCTTTAAAAGATATAGAAATTTTGAATAGAGGTGTTTTATTCTCTAAGAGAATATTGACTAAATTAATGATTTCTTCTAGTAAGTATTCGACATTGTTGGAAATATGTTTGATTCTAATGAGTTGAGTATGTATGGTATTAAGTATTACTTTTTCGGAAATATTGGGGTGCCAAGTGGATGAGTTTTATATTAAGGAAATTAAAATCTCTTATAGTGTAGGAAATTTTAATTCATGAAGAATAAATGCGATCGTATTCTGTTTGATTGAAGTTGTTGACTGTAGTAACATCACCCATGTATATGTAAATGTTAGAGTATTATAATCATTGTACTTGAGATAATTATTGTTGGAAATGAAATTCTCTTTTTCTTTTTATGTATGAGTTCAAATAGCATTTTAGATAAATATGAAACTTTTATTATCATTTTTTGCCATATTACGAAATATCTTCATCTTGAAATTTATTTATATGTATTCTTTAGATATGGGCAAAGCAATGAAACGAATAGCCAAGAATCCGATTCTGATTTGCCATTACCTTGGAGGAATCTTCCGTATGAACGGCTTGGTTGGCTATTACGTCTTACTGCCAAAATACATGGAGATGCAGTTTAGAGAATCAGCTTCTAAAGCCAGTCTTTACTCAGGTAATAATTTCGGAATAAATTTTCTGAAGTTTAGTCGTAAATAAAAATTTTATGTGTTGTGTCAGGTGTAGATTAAATTGATTTGTGATGCTTAAACGTTCTCTAGTCTCAAAAGTACAAGTATCTATTATTTTAAAATCTTATATAGCTAAAAAATTACGCATTTAAATTCTTATCGTAAGAAAACTGAATGGCAGTTTTTTTAGATTCCTAATGGTTTTATATCAAGCTACTTGCAACCACAATACTGTGCATTTTTCTTAGTATAAAATAAACCATCAAAGCATCGAACTTATGAATTGAGTAGTTGAATTCTTTGGAGGAATCTTAACGAAACACTTTCACATTCCTATGAATTTTAAATTTTAGAACTTTTATTAATAAACAATTGCATATCTAATTACATTTTAACATCTCAGGATTATGCAACTCATGTCTTTATTTACGTTTTGTTTTTAAAAGTCCTGCTAAGAAAAGTGATGCCTCTAGTTTCCGGAATTGTATCCGGAAAGTTAACTGCGAAAGTTTTCAAGCATTTAGTTTAATATATTTATAGTCTAATTTATATGGAATTAAACAATCAGTTTCACAAAATTGTACATATGGCTAGAAATTCTAAAAAATAAAAAACAATTCCAAAAGGGTTTGTTAAGGTTTTTCATGCTCTCGCTGAGCTCGCAGTCCGCATGGATAGTGTTACACTCACTCCTACTAACTCCTTTTTTTTTTTTTTTTTTTTTTTTGTCTTTTTAGCTTTATTTTTAAGCAGTATTTCCTTCGCACTTACGCTATATACAATAACAAAAATTTTTTAAAATTTTTAAAAGCAGCATGCCAATGTGCCTTTAGAATTCCGAATGCAGCGTTGAGTGTTGGCACACATTTTTCTTCCCCCCCCCTTTTTTTTTTTTTTTTTTTTTTTTTTTTTTTTTTTTCCCAGTTTTTTTCTCAATTTATGACATCAATGTTCAGTCTTCTCATTAAAACGGCTTTGCAATTTTTTTTTTTATCTTTTTATGATTAACGTTTTGTGTGTTTACTTTGTTTATTAAGTATCACGTTTTTGGCGTTTACGCCACATAAAATTCGATTCGAACAGCAAAATCACAAAATATTTAAAAACAGTATAACTAGAATTTCCGATAAAACGTCTCGCACGCTAGAGATAAAAGTGTTTCAAGTGTTAATGAAAATGCTTTTACTCATAATTTTCATAAAATACCACTGAAACTTTCCTTGGTCTCCCAAGTTTTACTATGTAAATATTTGTCTTATAGTTATCATTTACATATTTTCATGTACCTAGATATTACTAAATTTGACACGATTATCTGCGGTCATTGTGACTTTTGTACTAAGTAGAAAATGAATTATGTTAAGTATTAAAATTAAAACGAACGACTTTTAAACGTTCAACGATGTGTAGCTAATAAATAGACAACACCAATTAGAATGTAAATAAAACCACTCGGTAAAAACTCGGTGAATTAAGTCAGTTTCTGCACCTTCTGCCTCCTTTTGCCGAGTGGGACAAAAAGTAAACATTCCATTTTGTGCACTGAAAAATCTGCCTTCTTGCACGCTGGTCGAATGTCTTGATTTTGCATAGAAACTCCAATTTTAATTTTAAAAAATTAGCTGTTTTTAGTGTATTTGGTGTTTTATATTTTTCAATTTTTAATGAAGATATTTTGAGTTTTTATGTATTTTTCGCTTCCACGAAGTGAGAATTAAATTAATTGAACGAGAAATATATCTCTGATTAAATTCGAGGAAATAAGTGTAAATGAAATGCAGCAAAATTGCATATAATTTAGTAGGCCGTACAAGGAAGTCATGTAGTATCCACATCAGATCTTTTTCTTTAGCTGAAATATAAGATGAAATGGTCTAATAGACATTTCTGTTGTACCAACATCTGTGTGTGTGGCCAGCCAGGTAGCCCGGACCATTATGTCACCTTCTGCCCACTAACACGAGAGTGGCACATGCCGTTTTACAACACAGATCCAGCCTATAAAAGATTCTTCATTCGCCAACCAGTCGGTACTTAAAAAAACTCAAAAGTATTATGGACAGACTGCAAGCATTAGGCCAGGACTTGTGTGATTCGGCTTAACCACAACTCTATCCTTTATGTAAATGTATATTAATGTATAAGTGTATCATTTCTATTACTGTATGTATAGCCACTTAGGATGATACACGATTACGTGTTACCATTATTCTTCATCTATCATATAATGTATAAGTGTTATTTTCAGTATTTCATTTCCATTAATGTATAAGTCCTTAAGTGTATCATTTGTACTAATATATATGTATAGCCAAGTAAGGTAATACACGAATATGTGTAACCTTTAATTGTCATCGTTCACACTGATACACAATTTTCATTCTCAGTGTATCATTTCTGTCAACGTATAGGTGTGTATGTATCATTTTTATTGATGTGTGTATAGTCCAGTAAAAATGTATGATTATGTGTTTTCATTTATCGCCATCATTTTGTATGTGTTTATGCATATCATTTCTAGTAGTTTACGTATAGTCATATAGGATGACACACGATTACGTGTATTCATTAATTGTCATCTTTCTGCATTATTGCGCCAGTTGCGTCAGTGTTTCATTTCTTTTAATGTATAAGTGTTTATTGTTTGCCTATCTCATTAACCCCTTAGACCAATATACATATGTATCCAATGTACCTATACACCAATGTACATATGTATGAAACTTTTTATTAATTGTATACTGAAGCATAATATGCACACGCCCTTGTTTTGGCCACGTCAATACCACATATTCTCATTAATATATTTCCGATGCAGCCCTTTCAGGAAGTCGCCAGGGTTGTGTTGTTCTAAATAGGTGCGGGTACCGGACGACACCCGATTTGTCATATTAAGCCGTCCGGGCCCTGCATTCACCTGTCACCTGTAATCCATATACGATGCAAAACAAACACTCTGATTTAAATCAACATGAAAAGTTAAACACATAATTAAATATAATACACACTATCTTTCAATATAAATAATGTATATTTAACGAAGCAAAATGTTATGATTACAACTGCCTAATTTTAAGTTCAAGCTTTAACACGGCATATTACAATAGGTCCTGCCGGCCTTGTTGGAATGCAAGCGGGGATTCTACTTGGTGGGATAGCAATACGAAAATTCAAGCCCAGGCCCAGAGTAATGACAGGCGGAATTGTCATAGCTGAATCTTTCAGTGCTTTTGCTCTGATCGCTTGTATGTGCATTACTTGTCCGCTTTATCAGATGACTGGAACAAGTTCTGTCGGAACTCTTCAGTAAGTAAAATGTATTACTTAAATCATTGCTGCTGAAATAATGAGGAATATTGATAGAGAAACATGAAATTTAATTATGAATCAATTACCACTATTCATTCTTCAGCAGGTGTGGTCAAATCACGCATGGAATCAGCAATGATCTTACGCTTCCTTTTTAAAATTTTATAAGGTATTTTCTCCCTCCTTTCTGCATGCCTTCATGGTGTAACGGTTAGTACACTCGGCGCGTATTCGAGAGATCCAGGTTCGAGCCTCATCGAAGACACTGCTCATTTTTCATATCTCCTGCTCCAAAAACGAAAACTAAAGACTCAACAGTGGCATATTCTAGATATCCAGGTTCAAGTCCTGGCGAAGGCATTGCTCATTTTTTACGTGTCCTGCTTCAAAAAAGAAACCTAATAACTCTACAATGGCATCTGAACTAAACGGTTGTGGATGAGGATTTTTTACCACCAGGATTTGGCGATTGGGTCCCCTAATGCCCAGTCGCCCTTTAAAAGGGGGAAGTATATAAGGTACGAATTGTAAGAATTGGAGGCTCCATTAAGCCCACCTGGACACGAGTTTCTACATAGCTGAAAAGAAAGGGGCCCCGTCTCTCCACAAACAAGGGCAGCTAGCAACCCAGCCACCCCCAAACAACAAACAAAAATACTAAATTAAAAATAAGTAAGCACATCTAACACAAAATTACAAACGAACAAAAAAACAAACCACGAACACAAATTCACAACATCTACCAAGATATCTAAAACCCATATAAATACAGAATTCAATTTTAACAGAAGATTCCCTTAAGTGCCCTATTTTCATTGATAAACATTAGAGTAATAGTATATGATTTAAAAACATTAAGATTAATGGCACTTGCATTAAAAGCAGTAAAGTTAAAAATATGTTTAATAGGGGCTTTTAAATTACAATCAACCACAAAATGCCTAGTATCATCATCAACCTGACAACTATTACATAGTTTATTTTCTTTCAAATTAAATCGGTTGAAATAGAACGGAAACCTATCATGTCCAGTTAAAACCTGATTAACGTCAATATTGTTAATACATTTCATTTTATTCGTGATTTTAATTAGTTTCATAAATCCTTTGTTTTTAGGTGAAGAATATTACTGTATTTTCCATTTGTTAACGTAAAATTCTTTCATTCTTCGAATAGCAATTTTCTTCGAGCCTGTTACTTCAATATCCATTGCACTGACGTTTGAGACCGCCTGATTGGCCAGGCTGTCTGCTCTCTCATCACCAATAAAGCCTACATGGGCTTTAACACAATGTAGCTTAATATTTAAATATGAACTCAAAGTTTCTAAATGACTCTTAATTTCGACAATTAATGGATTGAAATTGTCTGGGCGGGAGAGCGCATGGAGAAGTGACAGGCAGTCAGTGTGAATATTTACAGATGTGGGTATTAACAAGGTATTTTTAAACCATAATAAGACTTGTTTGAACGCTTCACCTTTGCTTGGAAAACTGAATTATATGTATTAAACTTAAACATTCTGCAATCCACCTCAATTCCATAGTAAAAAACAACAAAGGGACGCCTATGCTCTCCCCTGATCCCATAACTATCTGTATAAATCTCAAATACATCAACAGTTGGATTACCGTTATCAAAAACAAAACCAAATCGATTAGAAGGATCGATAGAGATTTCTTTGTAAGCAAATAATCTTCATACATTTTCAATTCGATTTGTCCAGTTCTAAATAAAAATTTCTCATAATAAAATTCGTATAAAATTGAGAGAGGCGGCAGCCCAGCCAACTCAGAGACGGCCTCTGTAGGCACCGTTCTAAAACATCAGGTTAAACCCCAAGCTCTCTGAATACCGTGTAACTTTATCTGTAATCTAACCAGTTCCCCAGCCCTGGATCCCCAAGCTCCAATTCCATACATGATGACTGGGAGCACTAAATTTAAGTAAATCAGTCCAGTCTTGTCCGACAGTAGAATTAAAGGTTTCAATAGAATTAAAGTCATTAAACAAAATTAATTTAGATACAATACCAACGTTCCTCTTGCATCAATCAGTTTGACCCCCCCCCAACTAAAATGTTTTGAATTAAAATCCTCCATAAATAAAAACCTTTTATATATAATTAAAACCTGTTCCAATTTATGAGGACTCACAGCAACGTCCTCTGCAGGAGAAACGTATGCCGATATGATACTCAATTCCTGGTCTCCTATTAATACAGTAATAGTTATTATTTCATCCATTTCATAATCCACTATAAAATCAATTTCCTCTTTTAAAACAACAATTGAAGTTCGTTCTCCAACTTCAGCTGCAACTCTCCAACCATTTCCAATAAATGCCAATTTTCTATTAACCCAATAGGGCTCCTGCAGTACGATCAGATCAGGACTAACGCCATTACCATTTTGGAGAAACGAGAGCTGGGCAGCAGCAAAAGCGCAATGGTTTAGGTTGATACTTAAAATTATCATACAAATAAATTTATATAATAAAATTATGTGAAAATAAAAGAACTATACACATAAATGAAAACACAGCTGCTATTATATATCTAATTATATAATATACTAGAACCAATGAGTACATACATGCTAAAATTCAAAAACATTAAATCACACTGGTCATTCTTTAAAATCAAACTCCATGTGGCCTCTAATAAATTCAGTTTCTCTCTTTAAAGAGCGGCAATTCTTATCAAATACACTGTGATTATGTTTCATCTCTATACCATACTTCTGATTAGAAACCACACAGTTAAAACATTTCCTGCCTTTATCTTTATTTTTGCAAACAGTCGCAAAATGATTTCCAGCACATTTAGCACAATGGACTTGATCTGTACAAAATCTCTTAGAGCGACCGTATGCCAACATTGTGTACAGTGTCTTGGTCTCAAAAATAATGTCGCAGAGAAAGCACGCCATCCAATTGCCAGACGTTGCTCTTCCAGTATTTCCCTTTGACAAACAGAATCAATCGATGGAGTGTCCTACCCAGTCCTTTCGTAAGAATATCAAACAAATGTCTAGCATATTCGGCATTAGACACATAGTTACGTTTCAAGACATCTACAAGCTCTTCATTCTTAAAGGTTTTCCCTACACCATAAACAATAATTTTCGGTTTAATAAATCTACGCCTCCTTGGTTTAATATACATCCTCAAATTTTTTTTTTCTTAAGTACCTAACTACTTCATCTTTACTACCTAGTTTCAACAAAAAGTCTCCATTTTCTCTTCTAATGGACCTTTTAATCTTAACCTTGATATCACCTGGCTTGATCATGTTACTAAGTTCTTCGAATACATCACCGCCATCAGAGGTAGGCTGTATCGCTATCTCATCATGACTTTTTTCAAGAACCGAAGAAGCCATTCTTTTCGAATTGGACATCTTATTTTCACTTAAGCAATACATTAAGATCAGAAATTTCGTCTTTAATGCCCTTGATATCATCTTTATTCCCGCGTATAATATCAGCTTCTACCATAAGGACACTCTGTTTTAAAGCAAGCTGATGAATTTTATCTAATCCCTCAATTAACTTATCCGGCAATGTACTGGCTATTTTCATTTGGCTTTTAATCTTTTCCACAATCCTAAGTGATTCTCTAGCTGTAATCAATGTGTAATCAATGCTGTAATTCTCTAGCTGTAATCAGGAAGTAACAATATCATTGGCATCATTCATAGCTAAATCAAAACCATTATCTTCACCAGTGAGTGTGCTCTCAAATGTAGACATCTCTCCAATATACCCATATAATCAAAAGTACTACTACTTACGTATATATATATATGAATGTACTCAAGATCACTCTCAAAATTTCAATGTACTAATTAAAAATCTAAAAGTTCATATTTACAATTGAAATTCACTATATACAATACCATATATTACATTTAAAATCATATTAATTCAAAATATCTTTTATAGCAGCCTCTTTTCATAAAAACACACAATACACTGGTGTGCAAAAAATTAAGGACGAAGTCGAAAAATTAGCATATCAGCTGAACGAAGAAGCAGAGCGGGACAGAAAGACCAATCAGGAGATTAAGTAAGGTGATGTACGGTAGCACATGCGCAGATATGCAGGTAGACGTAATGGCGGAGTGTCTGAGTAGTATAAAGCATGTTGTCGGTGTAAGATCAGTATTTCTGGCAAAGAGATTGCACGCCGTATAGCAGTTAAAATCACACACCGAGTTGCTGCCTCAGCGAGAAATGGCGAATAATCAATCTGTTAGACGAACATCTGGATGCTTTTACTACCCGAGGTCGAATCATTGGGAAGTTGGAGGAAGGCCGCAGTGTGACAAGTGTGGCTGCAGAGTTCGGAATTGCTCACAGCATCGTTTCACGACTTTGGAGACAATTTCAAACTACAGGAACAGCTATCCGGGGGTTAGTAGTGGTCGTCCACGAGGAACCACACCCGCACATGACCGGTATATTGCCTTACAGGCCAGAAGAAACAGGCGGCAGACAGCGGGAGAAATCGCTAGACACGCGACACAGGCGACTGGACGACCGATATCGCGTTTGTTTGCACGACTGTTTGTCTGTTTGCACGACGCCCTGTACGGTGTGTACCTCTAACGCCTGCCCATCGGAGAAGGCGTTCTCTGTGGTGCCGGGAACACCGGAATTGGAGAGACAATGAATGGGGACGAGTACTCTTTGCAGATGAGAGCAGATTCAGTCTGAGTAGCGATTCCCTCGAACATCATTGAAAGGGACAAGTATGGAGGTCGCGGTGTTCTCGTTTGGGGAGGCATCATGCTTGGTAGTCGTACAGACCTTCACATCTTCGACGCAGGTTCAGTCAACGGGACCCGTTATTGTAACGAGATTCTTCTTCCATATGTGCGTCTTTTTAGAGGCGCTATGGGTCCGCAATTCCTTTTCATGGACGACAATGCACCATGTCATCGCACAGTAGCTGCCGAACAGCTCTTAGAGAGTGAGGATATTGAACGTATGGAT